CTTTTCCTATTGCTAGAGAGAGTGGAAGGAAGGGAGCCCCAAGGTAGAAAGAGAGAGAGAGAAACATTGATATGAGAGAGACACTTGATGGTTGCCTCCCATGTGAGCCCAGGCCAGGGAAGGAGCCTGCAACCGAGGTACATGCCCTTGACACAGAATCGTACCCGGGACCCTTTTCAGCCTGCAGGGCTGATGCTCTATCCACTGAGCCTCTGCCAGCCAGTGCAAAAGATAGTTTCAATGTTCAATTCACTCGCAGGGGAGGCCTTCGGGGGAGACCTCCAACGGCCACCTTCCCAACAGCAACTCAAAGGGCGGGACCACGCAGGTCCCCCCCACAGACGCTAACGCCACCCACCAGGAGCCCTCCTCCCGGATCTGACAGGTGCCCACTGCGCTTCGCTCAGCTGTCCCAAATGGCCATGTTGGCCTCCCAGTGTTCGGGTGCATGACGGCAGTTCTGAAACCTTACGGCTCTTTTCAGAAAAAGGACTAAGAATTTAAACAGTCAACCGTGAAAGGCAATCAGAGCACAGCCCTGTCCTTCAACCATGAAAGACAGAACACGTGAAAACAAAAGCACACGCAGCGCCCAAAACCAAGCCGAGACCGGAGCGTCCACCTGCAGCCTCTGGTGCCGCCTCGCAGGGAGGTGAGGGCCGGGCGACACACCCAGGGCCCAGTGCAGACTCAGGCGCCAGAGAGCCCGCCCTCCCCAACTCGGGGGCAAAGCACTGATCCGGGCGGAGAGCTGGGCACCGTCTGCAGACCTGAGCCCTGGGGCAGCAGCAACAGGCATGCCCATCGGCCCCCTGTCCCTCCTCGGGCCTGGCCCATGCCTGGACCTGCAGCCACTCAGCAGGGACCTGGCCAACGAGGGAACCAGGACGGTGGCTTAAATGCAGCCCAGACCTACCCCTGGGGCTGCACTGTGTCCTGGGTGAGGAGTGAGGAGATGGGAGGGCACAGCGTCCCTCATCACATTTGGGGGTACGTGTGTTGTGTGTGGTGTGTTTTGCATACGTGTGTTGTGTGTGGTGTGTGTACATGCGTGTGGGTGCGTGGACACGCGTGCGCACAGGCAGACCCCCGCCCTTACCTGGTCCTTGAGCTCGGACAGCTGGCCCGAGAGGTTGGAGACGAGCTTCATGGTGGACTCGAGCTTCTCCTGCAGGTTCCGCAGCTCGTTCTGCTCGCCCTCCGAGTCGCTGCTGACCAGGGACATGGCTCTCATCCGGGGGAACCAGTCGAGGTTTCTCTCCTGGAATCGAGTGGGCAGAGAGTGGGTCACCTCGGGGAGGCGAGGCCGGGGGGCCGCGGAGCACCGGGGTCCCGGCCCCCTCGGTGCCACAGAACGGGCGGATGCGGGTCGTTTTAAAAACCACGTCCCGAATACCCTCTTAATTGAGTGAATGGAACTCTCTCGATTCCTAGAATTCCTTAAAGTTAAACGTGGGGAAAGTCGGCTTTGAAACAGGTTCCCGATCTGCAAATATGAGCGCTGCCCTGGGAACCCGATCTCTGCAGACCACAGGGCTGATGAGCGTTGAGTTTAACCTTGTGGTGGAACACCCCCCGGAACCGACCACCTTCCGCTCAGCTGCCCGCCCGGTGCCACCTGTGCACTCGCTGTCGCACAGCCGTCACGCCACCACCCGGGCCTTCTTGTCTCCCCAACTGACACTCAGGTTTTAGAGAGAAAACCCAAGATCTCAGAGAAACGTCACCCTTGCTGCAGGCCATGTCGGGCCCCTGCCCGTCCTAGACAGAGCTCGGACCATCCCCGTTCCTCCAGCACAGGCAGGTCTGCCCGCCGGCGACCATCGAGGTCCCCCTTTGCCTGCTTCCCACCTTAATACCTAATGCAGAGCTGGGAAGCCTCACCCCTAACCACACACACAGCCCAACTGCGGGCACCGCCGGCTCCTGCTCTGCGGGCGGTTCCCAACCTGAGGCCCTGGGTGGGTCCCCGGGGCTGTAAGTCAGGTCTCAACCCCCCAGCAGCACCTGGGAGTTAGAATCAAGGAGCAATTCTGGCCCTGGCCGGTGTGGCTCAGTGGATAGACTGTCGGCCAGCGGACTGAAGGGTCTCGGGTTTGATTCCAGTCAAGGGCACATATCTGGGTTGTAGGTTCAATCTCCAGTGGGAGGCATGCAGGAGGCAGCCGATCAATGATCTCTCTCATCACTGATGTTTCTCTCTCTTTCTCCCCCTTCTTCTCTGAAATCAATAAAAATGTATTTTAAAAGAAAAATGAGCAATTCTGGCCAAACTGCCTCTCAGTTCCACGTGGCTCTGACCCCAGGGCCCCTCTGCACGGAGTCCTAGTCTCGGGTGACGGTGTGGAGCCCACCCTGTGCCGAGTGCAAGGCAGAGACCACCGCACCCGCTCACCCTCTCTCCAGCTCCGACGGGCACAACACACCGGCTTGTCTCAGCTAACGACCCGGCCGCCTGCGCCCACGGCCCCAGCAGCCAGAGCCCGGGGCCTGTGACCATCGGCAGAATCCCGCCTTTACGTCTGTTCAAGATCAAAACCGTCTGGTCTCGGCTTCGGCTGCATTTTTTTGGGAAAGTCATGTTCAACCGAGACACTGTTTATACGTGAACTCATCCCGGGGTGTGTGTGTGGTCGAGGGTGGGGCCGGGCGGCTCCGGGTCCCCCGAGCATGTGTCGCCGGGTCTGGCCGCCCCAGTGCATCCCCGGCCTCCTGGCTGTGGCACCGCACATACCAATGTCATTAGGCACCGTCTGCCTGGCCTGCAGTCCGGCCAGCGGTTCCCGGCACAGCCGCTTCCTGTGTCAGAGCACAGGCGACCGCAGCCACAGCCGGAAGCTGGCTGACCACAGCGCTAAGCGCTGGTGAGCTCTCTTCCAGGTAAAGCTGGAAAAGTCCCCACAGAGCCAGCGCTGAGGCCTCAGACGCGGGGGCGGCACAACCTCTCGGCTTGTCCTTGACTGGAAAGGGGGGGTGTGGGGGGGAGAGAGAGAGAGTGAGGGAGGGTGTGTGTGTGAAAGAGACAGAGAGGAAGGGAGGGGGAGAGGGAGGGGGAGAGGGAGCTGGATTGTGTGTGAAGGCTCATCATTCTGGGAAGCTGTCCTCTCCCAGGCTCCGTGCGGGGCTGTTCTAAGAGGAGGCGAGAGTCACTGGAGATGGGGCTCAGGTGCAGTTCTGTTTACGGCGTAAACAGCGCACAGGGTGCTGAACCTCTTGTTCCTCTACAGCCAGACTCTGGGACAGAGAGCCTGAGGGTGAAAGGTGCCGTGGGAAGAGGTGCTGGGAGGGTGGGCTGCGGGCTCCCTGCGTGGGGAGAGGGCCCCTGGGCAGACCCAGCGGGCAAGGCTGTCCTTTCAACTCAGATGGCGACCGACTGCCCACCTCACACAGCGGGTGACAAAGGGGGCTTCCCGGGGATGCAGGTGCCGAGGTGAGGGCGGGTGGGGAGGGTGGCGGGGCCAGGACAGAGGCTGGGCCTCCTTGGCTCCCACAGGGGGCGCGAGGACCCGCGGACCGGCCACCTGCCTGGTGTGAGCGCGGCTGTCTCCGAGGCAGAGGAGGCCCCTTCAGCCCCCTCTTCCGAGACCACAGCACAGAGCAGCCTCCGCCGCTCCGGGTGAGAAACCGGGACGGACACGCACGGGCAGGGGCTCGGCACCGCCCTTCATAGCGTCGGCCGTGCATTTCAGCGAAAGCCACAGCCCCGAACCAGTCCCGACCCCGGACACGGGAAGAAGATGGGGTGTGTGTGTGGGGGGTGACGAGGCCGGGCACAGAGGGTGTCCGGGCGGCGGGAGAGGGGATCCCTGGTGGGCCGGCCCCACCTTCCTCTCCTCCGTGACCTGCGTCCTCCCCAGCGGCAATGCCGACCCTGTCTTTACAGCCCGGAGTGAGCCGGAAGGTGAACTGTGGCCTCAGCCAGTCACAGAGCATCTAGCGGCCTCATCTGTTGTAACAAATACGCCGCAGGGACACAAGAGGTCACAACGGAACCGGCGGGGAGGGGGCAAGGGAAGGCCTCGCTTTCTGCTCGTCTGTCTGTAAACCTAAAACTGCTGTGAAATAGTCTGGTAATAAAAAAAAGGACCCCACCCCTGGAATTTGTTGGCCGGCCCCAAACCCCACCCGTGATCCCCGCAGGTCATGGGTGCGTTTCCATGGCAGCCCTGACGACAGTGTCAGCAGGAAGGACACCGCCCGGGGGCAGGAGGGGGCAGGAGCCAGGACTGGAGCCCGAGGGTGACCCCCCGGCTCTGCCTCCTGGGTCCGTGGCTGTGAGGAAGGTCCCGGAGGCAAGCGCCCTGCGAGGCAGGAAGCCAGTGCCGCAGCCCCAGTGGCAGAGCGGCTGGGCGTGGGCCTGCGGCCGGCACCGTCGGGGCAGCTCCGTCCTCCTCCCTCGGGCGCGGCTCCAGACACTTTCTCCAGCGCAGCTGCTCCCGTGGCTGGCGGGCGGCTCGTGGGCAGGAAGGACATTCCCCGCAGCCGAGTTACGTAACCTCCAGCTGCCGGGAGGGCGGCGGTCGCCCCAGGCCAGTTCCTGGCTGTTCCGGATGATCCCGAGCAGGAGGTCGTGGCCAGCAGGGAGGGCCGCACCCGGCTCTGATGAAACCCCTCCGAGGAGCCGCTGCAGAGCCACTCGGGGCCCAGGTGGCGGGTTCCTGGCCCAGGGGCTGCGAGAAGGCAGCGCTGACCGCTGAGCAGCACGCTGGGTCCCAGGTGCCCCCCCAGTCGGCCCAACCTGCCCTCCTCACCTGGCCCAGCCCTTGTTAGGCAACCTCCCTGCCCGGCGTCTCAGCCAAGACCCGCCCCCCCTAGTTCCCAGAGTTCAGTGTGGCGTTTTGGCGACTTTGATTGGTTTCCCCATGCCTGCCTGCCTTTTAAAAATCCTTACCCGAGTATATTTTTTACATTGGTTTTTGGAGTGAAAGGGAGGAAGGAGAGGGAGGATGGGGAGAGAAACATCGAGGAGAGAAAGACTGGTTGCCTCCCACACCGCACCCCTGCCCCTGCCGCAGACCTGCTTAGCCCACGAGCCCCCCACGCGGAAGCTGCCCTGTGGACGGAAGCTCAGCGGGGAGAGGCTGTGGTCGCTCGCTGGCTCCGCAGAATAGAACCGAGAGCCTGTCCCCATGTGTGCCCGTCGGAGACCCAGGGCTCCACCTAAACCAGCGTCTTCCACCGTCCTCCCAGCCCGACACAGGTTACGGCGTCCCGAGCGTGGACTCAATAACCGTACCCCCCGCCCCCACCCGCGGCCCAGGGACGGCGGTCTGTCCCTGCTCACGGGCCACAACCCCGGCGGCCTGGCTCTGAGCGACAGTCACCAGTTGGAGCAGAGAGGCCACAACGGTGTGGAGGCCCAGGAGCCTCGGTGGGGCCGGGGTGTGTGGGGGGCCCACGGAGGGCAGCCCGTGGGGTCTGCACTCGGGAAGAAGCAGAAGGTGGCCGAGGTCCCACCCTTGGACAGGCTCAGGGGGGAGATGTCTGGCTGTGAACCCCGCCTTCCCGACCCTCATATTGTGCGCAGCCCAGGGACCACCTGGGAGCCGCTGACGCCTGCCCTCCTCAGGGTCGGCTCCTGGGAGACTCTGTGACACGCCCAGCCGTGCTCCGCGGTCCGACTGGGGGTCACTCAGAGGCAGGAACCGGAGGTGCGGGCGGAGGGACCACAGAGGGAGGCCTGGGAAGTGCGCGGGGGTGGGGGGGGGGGACCGAGGGCAGAGTGTGCGGGGAGCCTGGCCGGAGTTCTCCGCGCTGTCGCCTGCACAGCCAGCAGTTCCAGTGCACAGGGCAGCACAACGCTGACCTGCTGCTTCCAGCCCCTGGGCACCCGCCAAGTCCCTCCTCACCCCCCTCGACCCTGTTCTTGAACCCTGCCTCGGTGCATTCTGGGAGTCGGGTCAGAGGGCAGAGGGCTGTGGGGCCCTGAGGACACGGCGAGGGGGGAGCCCAGGTGGCAGGAGGCCCGAGAGAGCACCGCCCACGCGGCCTCTCTCTCCCGGGAACTCGGGTTCCAGGATAAAGCCCAGCCCGTCATCACCATCACCGGCCTCTGCCCGCCCATCTGCCCAGCAGAGGGTCCCTGCCCCGCATCACAGCCGCCGCCTGCCCGTGGTGAAGCAGACGGGGCGGTGACAGGAGAGGGAGGGGCTGGTGCACACCCCAGGTCCTGTCTGCTGGGCTCTTATGTTCACGCTCCCCTCCCGCTGCCTCCACCGCCGCCGCCCTCCCTCGCTCTCATCTGTGATCCCTGGGTCTGCAGGGGGCCCTGAGCCGCCCAGCCTCCCCGGGTCCCTCGGGCTGCGGCCGCTTTGGAAAGTGCCGCCTGCAGACCTGACAGCGCCAGGCTCTTGCTCGCTGGGGTCAAAGGTGCAAGACCCAGCCGGCTCCCCCGAGAAGCAGAGGCCGTGACACGCTGGTTTTGGGCTCCCATTCTGACCTTTGCCCTTGTTAGCACAGTTTCCTGGCTGTGCTTCCGTCTTATCAAACACAGATAGCGAGGCGGGGCCAGGCCGCTGCTGGAAGCTTCTCACAGCTCCTCGGGCTGCGCAGGCAGGACCTGCTGATGGGACTGATTTGCCCGGAAAATGTACCAGGAGCTGTTTTCAGGCAAAAGGGCTTTTCTGACTCGAACTGACACGGGTCTCAGCACAGCTTTTTCCAGGCGTGTGAGCTCCTGACTCCCCCGTGTGAAGGAAAGCACCCCCGCTACCTCCAGAGCACCCGCTATCCCCTAGAGCACCCAGCTACCCCCCAGGGCACCCCGCTATCCCCTAGAGCACCCAGCTACCCCCCAGAGCACCCGGGGGCTGCGCCAGGACCTGTAGCCTGGGCACTTTGCTTCCCTGTCCCTGACAAGTTGGTTCTGCCGCGGGCAGGTGACAAACACAGGAGGGAGCACGGGGTGATCCTGGGAGGGAGCTGTGTGTGTGTGTGTGTGGGGGGGTAGGGAGG